TTCAACAAATTTGTAAAGTGATAAATTTATAAATGGGTAAAGAATTTGAATAGGTATTTCATCAGAAAAGATAAATGACCAATAATCACATGAAAAGATGTTCAACACCATTAGTTGTTAGAACTAGGTAAAAAATCACAATAAATACCCTTAACATCAGGCTATAATCAAAAAGACAGAAAATGACAAATGTTGGAAAGGATATGGAGAAACTGAAACCCTCATACACTGCTTGTGGGAATGTAAATAGCGTAGCTACTTCAGAAAAAAGTTTAGAAGTTCCTCAACATGTTAAACATGGAGTTACCATATGTCCCAGTAATTCTACTGTTAGGTATATACCCAAGAGAAATAAAACAGCCACTCTAACACATAAACACTTACTATGTTCATAGCAGCACTATTCACAATGGCCAGAGTGGAAAATCCAAATGTCTATCAACTAATGAGTAAACAAAATATCTACACAATGAAATATAATTTGGCAATAAAAAGGGATGAAGTACTGATTCATGTTACAACATAACATGAATGACTCTTGAAAACATTATGCTACGTAAAAGAAGGCAGTCACAAAAGATCATATATTACAATTCTATTTACATAAAATGTTCAGAATTGGCAAATCCATAGGGAGAGAAAGTGAACTGGTGTTTGCCTAGGGCTAGGGAATTGGGGAAGAGGGGAGAATGACAACAAAGTTCTAAAATTATGTTATTGTAAAATTCTGTAAACAAACTATACACTTTAAGTGGGCAAACCTTATGTATTACAGTAAATTATACTGAGATAAAGTTATGAAATTACTGGTTAGCTAAAATACATCTTTTACTAATTTCCAGAGACTATTTCACAATTAAAATTAATTCTCTCTTCTCAACAGATCTACATGAGTTTTATCAGGTTATATTATTCTTTCATTGTCCAGCTTAATGACACATCAGCCAGGTGCAGTGGCTCAAGCCTGTAATACCAGCACTTTGAGAGACTGAGGTGGAAAGACAGCTTGAGCTCGGGAGGCGGACGTTGCAGTGAGCTATGATATAGCTACTACACTCCAGCCTGGGTGACGGAGCAAGACCCTGTCACAAACAATGTCAAAGACCTCATATAACAAACCAAAAAAGAAATAAGTAGTTCTTCACCATCACGTAAACCAATACACAGACACACACACACACACACACACACACACACAGAGTCAACAAGCACTAAAAAGTAAAAATTTACTTTCTACAAATAAAAGAAATATATTACCATGTGACACAAAACTTACTTAAAATCAATAAGCTTTTGGAAACACTTGTTTAAAAAAAATCTGTTAAAGCTGACTTCATTAGGGAAAGTATATTTCTACTAATAGAACCAGTAACTATGCTAAGTATTTAATAATTTGACTATAATAGGTCATGGTGTGGGTCTCTGAGTTTAACCCATTTGGAGTTCATTTTTCATCAAATTAGGGAAGTTTTCAACCATTATTTCTTCAAATGTTATTTCTGCCCCTTTTGCTCTCTCTCTCTCTGTCTCTCTCTCTCTTCCCTCTAAGAATCCCATAATGCATATGTTGGTATGCTTGGGGATGTCCCATAGCCCTGTTCATTTTCTTTATTCTTTTCTCTTTCTGCTCCTCAAATGAATACATCAACTGACCTTTCTTCAAGTTCACTGATTCTTTGTTCAGACTACTCAAATCAGCTATTGAACCCCTCTAATGAATTTTTGTTACTGTACTTTTCAACTGCAGAATTTTTATTTGTTTCCTTTTTATAATTTCTCTTTGTTGATATTTCTTTTTGGTGAGAAATCCTTTTCTTGGTTCCCTTTAGTTCTTTGCTGATGGTTTTGTTTAGCTCATTGAGTACATTTAAGGTGGGCTTCCTCAGGGATAGTTTCACTAATTTCTCTTTTTTCCTCTGAATGAGTCACACTTCTTTATTTCTTTGCATGCCTTATAATTTGTTGAAAACTGGACATATTGAATATTATAATGTGACAACTCTGGATACTGGAATTCTCCCCCTTCCCTGGAGTTTGCTGTTACTGCTTGTTGTAAGTGTTGTTTACTGACTATTTCATAAAGTTTACATTCTTTGTTGTACATGGAAGTGAAGTCTGTGCTCACTTAGCTTCAGGGTCAACTACTGTTTTGACCGTTTCCTTAAACACCTGCAGCCAAGGAAAGAAAAAAGGTAATAGGAAAGAAAAAAAACCACTCCCAGTCTTTTTTGCTCTGTGTTGCGGCATTTCATGAAAACTTAGCCAGACTGTTTACAACCCTATCTTAACCTTCACATCCTACTTAGCTAGGCAGAGCCGGAAGGTCAGGTAGTGGTGAAAGCTTAGGGTCTTCTCAAGCCTTCTGTGAGGAGTTGTCCAATCCTAGGCATGTACATAGCATTCTCAATTTCTCAGCATATACAAAAGCATTTAAAAGTCCTTATACCACCCTGTATCTCCTTTTCAACTGTTCCTTCCTGGCTTTTTGTCTACCTGTTCATTGTCCTAATTTTTATCCCAACTCAGACTTCTACAGTTGATACTCCGGCTTTTAAATACTTTTGACACGTGATGACGGATAAGCCACCCCAGTCCCCGGAAAGCTCTGAGTTGTGTAAAACAAAAGGAAGCTCTATACCGGTCCTTCAGAGACTTCAGACAGGTTAAAACAATCACAATCTTTTGAGAGCAAGATCTGTACTAACCCTTCCGGTGCTAACAGCCTGCACCATGAGTGTAAGCTGCCGTTTTCAAAGCCATTATTAATCTAGGCACAAGGAATGGTAGGTGAGCAATTTAAGGTGCCATCGTGTTTTTCTGCAGTGCTACAGCTCCTTACTTTTCCTGTTTTTTTAATGTTAACTAAATTCCAGAGTTCTATAAAAATTAATTCTGATAGTTTCTGGAAGCTAACTAGGTGTTTTTGTAAGAACCCTAGAGTTCCCTACTCCACCACATTATATGACTTCTCTCACAAATGTTTTATATGCATAACAAAAGTATTTGCCTTTATTATGCTGATTGCAAATTTCAAATACATATTCTTTATCATATTTGAGGTATTATTCTACTGTAAAGAAATATTCTTCTAAAGAAATATTTTTAATTACAGATTTTTTAATTCCCAAATAGTTTTTGGAGCTTAATGAATTATGACTTCTCCATTAGATCTACTAATGTAAAAACTTATTCATAAATTTCCTAATATTGAACTACCTGCTTTGCCTGTGATACCTATGTAACATCAATTCCCAATTCCCCCTTCCTCCCAGTCCTTGGCAATCACCATTCTACTCTCTGTTTTCTGAATTTGACTATTTTTAGATATTTCACGCAAGTGAAATCATTCAGTATTTGTCCTTCTGTGACTGGATTATTTTAATGTCTTACAGGGTCATCCATGTTGTCACATACACCAGGACCTCCTTAAGGTGGAATAATATTCCATTGTATGTATATACTACATTTTCTTTATCCATTCATCTATCAATGTTTATACATCTTGTTTATGTATCTTGGCTATTGTGATTAATGCTATTGTGAACATGGGATCTCCTCAAGATTCTGATTTCATTTCCTTTGGATATGCACCCAGAAGTGGGATCATATGGTAATTCTATTATTTTTTTTTTAGGAATCTCCATACTATTTTCCACAACGGCTACACTATTTTACATGCCCATCTACAGTGTACAGGGTTCTAATTTCTCCACATCCTCTCCAACACCTGTTATAGTTTGTTTTGTTTTGATATCAGCCATCCTAACAGATATAAAGTGGTAAGTCATTGTGGTTTTGATTTGCATTTTCCTGATGACTGGCTATATTGAGTGTCTCTTCATATACAGCATCTTACACATTTGTATGTTTTAAGAAATGTTCATTTAAGTCTTTTACCCATGTTTTAACCAGGTTATTTGTTTTTTGTTTTGGGGATTTTTTTTTCTTTTTTTTCTTTTGGCTGTTGATTTGCAGGTGTTCCTTATATACTTTGGATATTAACCCCTCATTAGATACATGGTTTACAAATATTTTCTCCTATTCCATAGATTACCAGTTCATTCTCTTAACTGTTTCCTTTGCTGTGCAAAAGCTTTTTAGTTTGATGCAGTCCTGTTTGTCTATTTTTTTAAATTGCTTTTGCTGTAGCTATAAGTTGTTTTATGTAAGACTTTGGTAACCACAAAGAAAATATCTATAGAAGATACACAAAAGAAAAAGAAAAAAAAATGAAGGATCAAAGCAAAATCAACAAATTACAAAGGAAGACAGCAAGAGAGGAGAAAAGGGACGAAAGAACTGTAAGAAAGAAAACAATTAACAAAATGGAACTAGTAAGTCTTTCCCTATCAATAATTTAATATAAATGCAGTAAACTCCCTAATCAAAAGACATATAGTGGCTGAATTAATTTTAAAAATAAGATCCAACTATATGCTATCTACAAGAGACTCACTTTAGATTTAAGGACACACAGGCTAAAAGTGAAGGAACAGGAAAATATACTCCATGCAGATAGCAACCAAAAGAGCACAGTTGTGGCCATACTATCAGACAATATAGACTTTAAATAAAAAACCATCCCAAGAGACAAAGAAGGTCATATGATAAGAGAGTCAATTCATCAGGAAGATAACACAAGTATAAACACATATACACTCAACATCAGAGCACCTAAATATATAAAGCAAACACTGACGGAACTGAAAGGAAAAATAGCAATACAATAGAAGATGTCAGTACTCCATTTTCAATAATGAATAGAACACACATATACTGAATATTCCACCTAACAGTTGCAGAATACACAGTCTTCTCAACTGCACACAGAACATTCTCCAGGAAAGATCACATATTAAGTCATAAAACAAGTCTGAACAAATTTAAGAAGACTGAAATGATACCAAGCTTTTTTTCCCAAGCACAATAGACTAAAATTAGAAATCAGTAACAGAAGGAAAACTGGGAAAATCACAATTATGTGGTAATTAACAACACACTCTTTTTTTTTTTTTTCAGTGGAAAATAACTTTTATTGAGACCCCACCAGCTGCAAAATCTGCTCCTGGCATTAAGCTCCTTCTTCCTTTGCAATTCGGTCTTTCTTGAGTGGTCCCATGAATGCTTTCTTCTCTTCCATGGTCTGGAAGTGGCCATGGCCAAATTTGGAGGTGGTGTCAATGAACTTAAGGTCAATCTTCTCCACAGCCCGCTGCTTCGTCTGTGACAGCAAGGACTTGCGGAGTGTGCGCATCCGCTTCTTCGTTCCCACCACACAGCCTTTCAGCATGACAAAGTCATTGGTCACTTCCCCATAGTGGACAAAGTCACCCAGAGGGTTGATGCTCTTTCAGGCAGGTCATAGTCAGTGGAAGCATTGTTCTTGATCAGCTTGCCGTCTGTGATAAGGCAGCCCTGGCCAATCTTAAAGATCTTCTTGTTGATCTCAGTGTGGTGATGGTAGCCTTTCTGCCCAGCACATGCCACAGAGAAGGCCACACAAGCAGGATGCCATGCCCCAATACAGGCCACCTTGCACAGACCTCGGTGGGTCTTGCGGGGCAGCTTCTTGGTGTGCCTTTGTAGCCTTTGCCTTTGGTCACCCCGATGACGTCGATCATCTCATCCTGCCCAAACACTTGGTTCACAGGTACCTGCTGCTCGAGCCTCTCACGGGCCCAGTCCAGCTTCTCGGCCACAGTGCCTCCATTCACCTGGATCTCCATCAGGTGGGCCTTCTTCTGGCGCAGAGGAAGCAGGTGCATCTGGGTGTGGGCAATGACACAGATGACTTGGCAGTACTTCTTCATGCTGCTGAAGTCCTTCTCCAGCTGCTTCTTGCCATCTTCATCCTGCCACTTCTTGCAGTACTTGGTAAAGGCCTTCTTCTTAGATTTATGCCAGTTCTTATAGAAACACCTCTTGCATTCATCACTGATGTGCTCAGCGAAGACAGTCTTGAAAGTCCGGAGGCCTAGAGGGGTTTCCATGTAGCCCACAATGCCCACAACCACCATGGGTGGCGTCTCCACAATAGTCACAGCCTCCACCACCTCCTTCTTGTTCACCTTGGATCCTGGCCTGTCAACTTCCCGCACGATGTGGGTCATGCCAGCCTTGTATCCCAGGAAGGCTGTGAGGTGGACCGGCTTAGACGGGTCATCCTTAGGGAAGCTCTTGACCTTCCCGCGATGCCTGCTGCTGCACTTCCGAGGCAGGAAGCTGAGGGACCCATGCCTGGGAGCGGATAACTTTTTGTGAGACATCATGCAATCAAATCCCACCAGTAGAGCAACAACACACTCTTAACCAGTGGATCAAAGATGAGATCAAGGAAAATTAAAAAATATCTTAAGACAAAAATACAACAAATGAAAACTTACGGGATGAAGCAAAATCAGGACTAAGAGGGAAGTTTCTAATGATAACTGTCTGTTTTTAAAGGAAGAAAGATCTCAAATAAGCAACTCAACTTTACACCTCAAGGAACTAGAAAAAGAAGAACAAAACTAAGCCCAAAGTTAGCAGAAAGAATGAAAGAATAAAAATTAGAGCAGAAATGAAAAACAGGAAGAAATCAACTAAATTGTTAGTTTTGAAAAGGTAAAAACAATGTTAAACATTTAGCTAGACTAAGAAAAAACTAGAAGACTCAAATAAATAAAATTAGAAATAAAAGTGGAGACATCACACTGATGTGAAAGATTCATAATTTCAGGTATGTCTTCTGAGGTTTTTGTTAATGTCCTCAAATAAATTAGGAAGTTTGTATTAGTGTATTAGAACTCTTTATATAGCACAGGAGTTATCCATTACCTGATAGCTTGAGTCACCCACATAAACATCTAAGTCAGGCATTGTTTTTTTCTTTTTGTTAAGAATATACCAAAAAGTTGATAGAATGTTAAAATAAACATGTGAATTCCTTCTACTTAGATTCAACAACTGTCGAACAATTTCCCCTATCCCTCCACAAAGCTTTATCCTTCCACAAAGACACTGTGATTTGACACTTCAACCCTAAATAATTCACTTATCATATAACCACAATGTCATTATCACACCCAGCAAATACTCCATAATGTTACCTAATATTGAGCTAGGTCAGGTACTTTACTTGGAAGCCAAATGTTTGATCAATAAAGTTTTTCTCTCTCAGTCATGTTTACTCTATTACACATTTCTGTTTAATTACATTATCTAAGAAAATCAGTCATTTCATGAAAATTTTATACCTAACAAGAAAAGAGTTATACTTTCTCTCATTATTTCAAATTTCCTCAGTGGTATTATCTGGCATACTCCTTTTCATTTAAAACATTGTATGTTTTTCCTTCTCCTCTTCTAGCTAGTCAGAGCTTTCTTTTGATTTGGAATTTTTTCAAGGTCCAAATCTAGACTTTAATGCTCAATTCTATTTTTCTGTTTTCTAGTTAATTGATAGATTTTATTTTATAATTTCCTTCTTACTACTTTTGTAGTTTGGTTTGGTTTATTTTAGAGTATAAGTAAAGTTTATTTCATGGTTTTTTGTCTAAACGTGTTGAGTTATTGGTTCATATACTAAATGACATAAAGAACTGACTTCAAACTTTTCTTCTCTTCTTCTATTACCAAACAGAAAAGAGAAGGAGAAGAGACAGTATTCTGCCAAGAGAGATCAGTAAATCCTTGGGTACAGCGTGAATCTCATTCTCATAGCATGGAACAGGCCAAAATGATCTCAATAGTTTTTGACAACAAGCAATCTAACAGAGTTTCCTTTAGGAGCCTACGAATGCATTTCTGTGGGGTAGAGGGCAGTAAGATAAATCCTCATTGTGGTTTGGAATTGTATCTGAACATAAAATTTGTACCTTGATGTAGAAAACAAAGAGAAAAAGGACAGAAGCAGGTTCCTCCTTATCATTAATTACTTTAAAAGCAAATAAATTATCCAATCAAAAGACAGAGATTGGCAGAATGCTCCAACTATATACTGTCTACCATAGACTCACTTACATGCTACAACATGGATGAACCACATGCGACTAAGTGAAATAAGCCAGTCACCAAAAGACAAATATTGTATTATTCCATTTATAGGAAGTACTCAGAGTAATCAAAATCATACGAAACAAAAAGGAAAATGATGGTTGCCTGCGGCAGATGGGAAGAGAACAAGAAGTTACTATTTAATGGGCAAAAGTTTCAGTTTCACAAGATGAAGAGTCTTGGAGATGGATGGTAGTGGTGGTGGTGGTTGCACAACAATATGAATGTACTTAACACCAGTAAACTGTACATTTAAAAATAGTTAAGAGGTAAATTCTGTGTTATGTGTATTTTACCATGATAAAAAAAATTTAAAGAAACATCTGCCTTGATTCATTGAAGCAGTCTGTGCCAGCTGGATATAGAGTCTTATTAACAAGTACAATTTATTTCTCTATGTACTTAGCCTTCCAAAAGAAATTTTACTGTTCTCTAATAAAAGATCTCATAAATCTTGTTAGATTTACACCTTGATGCTTTTTATAAAGTTTTTGCTATGATTAGAAATGGTTGCCTTTTTAAAGTTCCTTTTCTATTTCAATTGTATCTCTTGTTCAATGTTTCTTTTTAATTAATATATAATAAATCATTAATAAGGTGTACAAATCTGAAGTCGGGCAGTTTATTTTTTATATGTGTTGACAGCAATGTAAATACTGCCCATATCCAGATATACAAAACTTCCTATACCTGAGAAGACCTCTTGTGCCTCTTCCCGGTCAATAACACACACCTGACTCCACCAGAGGTAACCATTCTTATCACTTTTTTTTTTTTTTTTTTTTTTTTTTGAGTCGGAGTCTGGCTCTGTCGCCCAGGCTGGAGTGCAGTGGCCGAATCTCAGCTCACTGCAAGTGCCGCCTCCCAGGTTTACGCCCTTCTCCTGCCTCAGCGTCCCGAGTAGCTGGGACTACAGGCGCCTGCCACCTCGCCCGGCTAGTTTTTTTGTATTTTTTTAGTAGAGACGGGGTTTCACCGTGTTAGCCAGGATGGTCTCGATCTCCTGACCTCGTGATCCGCCCGCCTCGGCCTCCCAAAGTGCTGGCATTCTTATCACTTTTTTCACCATTGGTTAGTTTTTGAATTTCATATGAATGGAATTATTCAGTATGGCTCGTTTGTGTCTCGCTTTTCTGCTAACCACAACGTGTGTGACAGCTTTCAAAGTTGTTGAGGCAGTAGTAGTTTGCTCTCTTTTATGGCTACACAGGATTTCACTGTATGAATAAAGCATAATTGATTCATCTATTCTACTCCTGATATACATTTATATAGTTTTCAGTTTGAGGCTACTATAATTATTATTGACCATGTCTTCTACTGAACATAGGTACTGATATTTCTTGAGTATGCACCTAAAAAGAAGTAGTAATGAAGTGTCCCAGGTCAGGTATATGTTTACCATTATGAAATAATTGTAAATTATTTTAAGAGTTTTGTACCAGTTTACCTTCCCATCAGCAATAAATGACTGTTCCAGTTGCTTCATAACTTTACCAATATTTAGTATTGTTCTCTTTTTAATTTTAGCTACTCTTGATATGAAGCAGTATCTCATTATGGTTAATTTGCATTACCTAAGAGGCAGTGATATTGAGAATGTTTTCAAATGCTTATTGGCCACTTGGATATCTTCATTTATGAGACACCTATTGAAGTCTTTGGGTAGGAAGAATGGATTTGCATGAGTTCCTTATATATTCTAGATTTATGTCCCTTATCAAATATATGTATCCGAAATACCCTCTTCCACTGTGTAGCTTGACTTTTCACTCTTCATGGTGCCTTTTGATTACCAGACGTTCTTAATTTTCATGAAGAGCAATTTATCAATCCTTTATTTTATGGATAGTGTATTTTTGTTCTTGAGAAACCTTTGCCTAACCCAACATCATGAAGAGATTTTCAAGCAACTTTATTTTACCTTTCAACGTAAAGTCTATGATCCATCTCAAATTAATTTTGTAGTAAGGTATGATGTAGGGGACAGGGTTATCGTAGAAATTATAACACATATAGTTATCAAGCTAAAGTAAATAATACCTAACTTTTTCCCAGTTAAGAAACTTGGAAAAAGATTAACTCCATTTATACAGCTTCAAACCTGTACGATATTGTTGTCATATATTTTAAGTTTCTGCCACATTTTATCTCAGTCATGAAGGTCCTAGTATTTTTGTTTCATATACTTAAGTATTTAGCTTTATTTATCCACATACTTAACACATCTTTTGCTCTTTAATATTTCCTACATCACAAATTTCCCATATTAGATTATTTCCCTTTAGTCTGAGGTAACCACTTAGAAATTTTTAATGAGAGTTGAATGAACTGTTATTGTCCAAAATCACTTTTATATTACCACATTCTTAAAACAGATTTTCCCTGACACGCAATTCTAGGTAGATATAATTTATTTTCTTTCAGCACACTGAAGGTATTATCCTAATATATCACCTTTCATTGTTGAAACAAATCAAAATGGAAATTTAAAAATATCTGGAATGGTATAATAATAATTATATTACATATAAAACTTGTAGGTTGAAAGAGATTTGGGGCTGGGAAAGAAATTCAATCTGTTGCAGGCATGATGAGCAGAGTGGCTGAGGGAGAAACATACAAGGGAATTTAAACAAGTAACTAAATATATGGAGGATAATGGGAGCCAAGTTTCTCACTATCAGAGAAGTGAGTTACAAATAAAGAAAGAAAAAAAGGCTAGAATAACCCTGTAGTACTGGAATGGAACTGGATGTACTAGTATAAACTCACAGCTTTCATTTTATAATAAAAGTAATAGATAAGGAAACAGGCATACAGAGGAGAGGGGGTTGTGTGTGCAATTATGTACATACACATCATCTGCTGAAAAGGCATAAAGGCAACAGTATCATAGTATCAATAAGCACACCAAGCATACATATCTTAGTTTCTACATGCTATTCTCTGCTAAAAAGAACCAGGGCCCCTTAGAGAAACAGACAGCTCTAGGGTTGGTAGAAAGAAAATACAAGATATTCCTAGAGTATCTTCCTATCTTAGAAAGTGGGTGAATGCTCATGAAATGATGGGATCATGAGAAAAACACACAGGCACCAGCTTAAAATGGTTCTCATGGGCAAGTGTGGGGTAATTTGAGTACAAAAATAAACAATGATAGTGATAGGTTGTGACCCTTTGAGAAGAAAAATCCAAGAGCCCATAATGATATAAATAAATAAATGGAGAAGGGACACTTTTAACTTACCACAGAATTCCAATGAATGAATGCTGAAGTGATGATAGAATTTTTTTCCATCACCAAATTAAAGCTATTTTATTAATAAATTATTCAGGCAAGTATAAACACTAGATCCTAAACTAGAGATATTTACAGTCTCAAAGAATCTCTTCATAATATTTATTAACTGCTTATTAATTAATATGTAAAACACACAAACCAGCAGATACCACCTTAACTAAGTGGTCGAGTTAACATTACAAGTATTGAGACAAATCAACATAATGTGTCTCCTGACAAGCATGAAAAGCCCATCACTTCTGTGGCTTTCCTACATAAAAATCAAATCTGAATCAAATCATGGTAACACAGCAGATAAATTCAATTTGAGTGGAATCTGCAAAGTAATTAGCTTGTACTCTTCAAAAATGTCAGTCATGAAAGAAAGAAAAAACAGAAGAAACACCCTACACTAAAAAAAATCATTTAAAACATGACAAACACTGGAATAATTTATAAAAGGTTTTTCATCAACATTAATATCTACAGGGACATTCAAAAGCTGTATGTAACAAGGGACAACTCTTCATTGTGTGGAACTGTCTTGTACATTACAGAAATAGTAACATACTTGACACCTATCTACTGCATTCCAGAAACAATCCCCAATTACAGTGATGACCCAAGAAAAAATCACATAAATTTCCAAAATATCTCTTTGGGAGCCATTTACTATCCCTGTCAAGAACCACTGCCTTCCACAATCTAGTCTTCTCCCTTTCACTCTCGCTCTCAAATACACTGGCCTCCTCCCTTTCCTTTAGCACCCCTCCCTTTCCTTTAACACTCCCTTTCCTTTCACACTCTACCTCAGCAACTGTGTGCATGCTATTTCTGTCTGGAATGCTCTTGTCACTCATAACTGCCTTAGTTTCTCACCTTACTCAGATATTTAACTCAATACATCTTTCTCAGGTTCTGCATTGACCATTCTGCTTTGTCTCCCTGGTTCTTATCCTATCATCTGACATTTATTTTACCTGTTTGGTTGTTATTCATATACTCTCACTTAATGTAAGCTCATGATGTGTTTGTCTATTTTGTTCAGTGGTGTGTCCTCAGCCTATAGATGAGTGATGACACATATTAGGCATTCAATATGTATTTTTGGAATTAATAAATAAATGTTCAACAGTAGGGTAGTGAATAAATTGTTATGTTCATACAACGTGATATTATATACCTATGTAAAATTATGCTTTTAGAGAAGTTTTAAAGGGAAATCCTAATATATTTAAGTTAAAAAAATAAAAGGTCCAAAACTGTACACAGTGTGGCCAATACGGGTTCCCTAAGAACAAGGCATATCTAGTCAAACACTATTTCGCAACTACTCAGTTAATAGACTGAAGAAAGTCAATCATAAGATGGTGAAACATGAGATGGATGAATGACAGTATCATGAAGTACTCACCATAAGTGTGAGAGTAATCTTTATTCAAAAGTTTTAGACTTTTTTTTTTTTTTTTTTGAATCAGAGAGTCTCCCTCTGTCGCCTAGGCTGGAGTGCACTGGCACGATCTTGGCTCACTGCAATCTCCGCCTCTCAGGTTCAGGTAATTCTCCTGCCTCAGCTTCCTGAGTAGCTACTATTACAGGCATGCACCATGACACCCAGGTAATTTTTGTATTTTTAGTAGAGACGGGGTTTCAAACGTTGGCCAGACTGGTCTCAAACTCCTGACCTCAAATAATCCACCCACCTCGGCTTCCCAAAGTGCTAGGATTATAGGCATGAGCCACCACGCCCAGCCGAAAGTTTTAGACTTTTTATCCATAACCCTTAGTGAACATTTTTATCACTAATTTGGATTAAAATACTTATCAAATATACAAATGGCACAAAGCTGAAAGGGATATTTTAATAAAATAAATGACCAAATTTAGATTAAAAATCATTCCAACAGGCTTGAACACTGATATAAAAGCAATAAAAAGAAATACAGGAGAGTTAAAAAGTATTATATAGGGCCAGGCGTAATGGCTCACGCCTCTAATCCTAGCACTTTGGGAGGCCGAGGTGGGCGCATCACTTGAGGTCAGGAGTTCAAGATCAGCCTGGCCAACATAGTGAAACCCCATCTCTACTAAAAACACAAAAATCATCTGGGCGCGGTGTCACACGCCACTCACGTAGCTGTAATCTCAGCTACCCAGGAGCCTGAGGCAGGAGAATCACTTGAAGCTGGGATGTGGAGTTTGCAGTGAGCCAAGATCATGCCACTGCACTCCAGCCTGGGCAATAAAATGAGACTCTGTCTCAAAAAAAAGAGAATTAAAAAAAAAAAAAGTATTACATACATACAAGAAATGAGAATAGAAATCTTGGCAGCAGTTCATGGTTTTTGGTTTGGTTTTGTTTTGCTTTTTTCCTACAGCTTTAAGGTTTGAAAGCAGTATATGGTTGTTTTTTTTTAATGCCCAATTATGCTGTGACCATTAAAGATCTCACAGTACACTGACAGAGAATCACTAAATATATTTCATGCTGGTCAGATCAGAAGTGAAATTGTGTTTCATCTAATTCAGGACACCTTATTTTAAGAAAAACACAGACAAACTAGAGTCTACCCAAAGGAAGGCAACTTGCTTGCTGAGGGATCTGGAAATATGAACACAAGAAAACAATTTTTAAAAATAGGGAAACACAAATCACTGAGAAAACTGTACTTTTAAACAAATGATGCTAGGGTAGTGCTCACTTTGGCAGAATATATACAAATGGTGCTAAGAGAACCAACTGTTCATTTTACTATTCTTATTATTTTGTCAATTTTGTTTTTCACAAGCATATATGTAAAACCTAAAATCCAATCTAATTTGTACTTTTCAAACACTTTTCCAAAACTGAGATAATCCAAATAAACTGTATCACTGGAGAATAGTTTTCTAACTAAACTTTGTATGAATCAGGCCATGAAATCCTTGTATGATAACTATATCAATTCTTACAGGATTAATAATAGTAATAACAGCTACCAGTTATTGAGTACTAACTAGATATCACATATTCTACTAAGCATTTTATAGGCATTATCTCACATAATCCACACCAAAACCCTCTAAGATAGGCATTATTATATCCTATTATTAAGCAAAATAGCAGACAAAATGTCTTAACCACAGAATGAATAAATTATTATGTAATCACACACTGAAATACTGTACAGTAATAAGGAATAAATGAAAACTATGTACATCTACATAGAAGCAGCTCAAAACCCTAAGACTGTGTGAAACACCCAGTTCTCAAAAGAATATGTATCTTATTGATTCCATCTATAGAGTTCAAAACCATACTGAAGAGCAGGAAAATCATTATATATCAAAATAAGAAATAAAAAAGATATGACTGGGAAAGGAGAAACAAAGAACTTCAACAGTATTTAGTAATGTTCTATTTCTCAACCTGGATAGTCAATATACGGGAATTATTATTTACTTGCTGCTATTCTTTACATAAATGATTCATATATACTCTTTCCTACATATGAAATAGTTAATAGAAGGAAAATATGTACTATTAAAATGAAAGTCATTTATATATAAGCTATTATAGCTGTGTACTCAAGCATTTAAAATAAACATTTGAAAATAGCTGGACTTCATCTAGATTTCAAGATACCACTTTCAAGAGAAAATAACGGTGACATTCAGTCTTCTCTGTTCTAAAAAATATTGATAAAACAAGCAAATCAGTTCTTACTTTTCTAAGAAGATAAATTTTTCAAAATATGAACTTGGAATGAATAAAAACTTCACATATCTAGACTGTAAGTATCTAATACTTACATCTTAACTTTTGAAAAATTAAGATGCCCGCCTAGGCACAGTGGCTTATGCCTGTAATCCCAACATTTTGGGAGGCCAAGGCAAGAGGATCACTTGAGTCCAAGCGTTCAAGACCAGCCTGGGCAATGTAGAGAGACCCTGTCTCTGCCAAAAATTTAAAAATTAGCCAAGCAGGGTGGTACACACACGTGGTCCCAGTTACTTGAGAGGCTGAGGTGGGAGGATTCCTTGAGCCTAAGAGTTCAAGGCTGCAGTGAACTGGGATTGCACTGCTGCACTTCAGCCTGGCCAACAGAGCAAGACTGTCTCAAAAACAAAACCAAAAAAGGCTCCTTACACTTTAGCCAAATATTATCAGCAATTCAACTGATGCCCAAGTAAGAGATCCAAATTCCATCACCCATTCTTTCATATTTACTTTTTTCATTTCCAGATTTCTTTTATACCTTGGACAAGTCAGTTGTTCTCCCATGACCAAACAACTCTGCCTTGATCTCTTCTACTTTCCTCCTGTCATCTTCATTTAATTCTGAAATGGAGTATCCACAATCATGTGCTAAATTGAACTTCAGATTCCAGGCTGGAGAGAAAGCATACACTTGAGATAATACAATGCAAAAGTGATAATTTGGCAACAATTGCAAGAACACAGAAGATCATCAATATATGCAATGTAATACCCACCGCAATACTTAGTATGTCTTCTTAACTATGACAACCTATCAGAAATTCTTGACAGAGATCATTTCACCGCAAAGTGTGATTTTCTTAAGCTATGCTCTATAGATAATTCTACAAAAAAGCCACTTTAAATCTGGTATTCAATCATGTTTATCTTAATCCTCCTTCTAATCAAGAGTCCCTTTGCCTCTCCCTTTAGTTCCTGCTACAATTACAATTTATAAAAGTAATAAATACAACTCGGAGGGTTTTTTTTTAGAATAAAAAGGTGCAAGGAACAGTGTAGGAAGTTAACCTCAAGGGACGATTTCTAGGTAGGCCTAAATTGCTTTTAAATTGCCTCCCAAAATATATTCCCCATATTGTCTTACAGATTTTTGTTTTTAATGGAATTCTATTAGAAAGTAATGAGATTTGTAAATATTCTCTTTTAAACCTCTAATCCAAGTTTTAGTATAAACTACATTGATTTTTTTTCAAATGTCTGAGAACACCACCAAAAGTTTTATTAGAAAAGGGAAAGAGAAAATATATGTAGTTTTAGGACAAAAAGCAATTTATTTATTTATTTATTTATATTTATTTATTTTTTTTTTTATTTATTTATTTTTTTTTTGAGACGGAGTCTCGCTCTGTCGCCCAGGCTGGAGTGCAGTGGCCGGATCTCAGCTCATTGCAAGCTCCGCCTCCTGGGTTGACACCATTCTCCTGCCTCAGCCTCCCGAGTAGCTGGGACTACAGGCGCCCGCCACCTCGCCCGGATAGTTTTTTGTATTTTTTTAGTAGAGACGGGGTTTCACCGTGTTAGCCAGGATGGTCTCGATCTCCTGACCTCGTGATCCGCCCGTCTCGGCCTCCCAAAGTGCTGGGATTACAGGCTTGAGCCACCGTGCCCGGCCAAAAAGCAATTTAGAGCACAGCAAATTGGAGGCTTTTTCTGCCTTCACAATAAGGATACTATAATGGGAGGATTAGGGAAACATGATAGCTTTAGGAGCTCAGGAGCCAAGCGACCTCTTTACTCTCTGCCATACATCAGAATCTACTTCTCCTAAAAACAAGAACCTAAATTTAGGCTGGTACTAATACTGTAACTTAACTACATTATTGGTTAAATAGACTTTTTATGGATTGTAAGAAGAAATATAATCACTCTAACAATTCTTTTTTTTTTCCTGATCTTGTTTTTATTTTTCATTGGCTAGGCACCCTCAAATCATAAATATCTAACTTTAAACAAATTATTAAGCTATAACGTTTATAAGCCTGAACCTTTTTTCTTACCGTGTGCTCGTACCCGGCTTTCCTCTTCCTCTGCATTTCTGAGTATTTCTTTAGCATGATTCAGTGAGGATTCACATTGCAGAAGGTTTTTCACATGTGCAGCCAGTGAGTCTACACTGCTACCCCCACCATCCTCACTCTCTGACACACCCTCTTCCTCTCTGCTATCTGTTATACTTGTCTTGGGTGAAACATATGGAAAGAAGTTTAGAAGAACATCGGAAACTGATTCCAAAGACTCTGGTAAATTACTGTCCCACGAGCAGGAACCATTTCCATCACTGGCATCACTACTTGAATCACTTTTTATGACAGTCATCATGGGGATAATAATTTTATTCCCAATGGTTCCACTACACCCTTCAGGTTCAGACCTCATTACAGATTTGGCTGCTTGATATTGCCTAAGAGTTTCTTCTAATGCCATACTGACTTTGCTCTCTGCTTCCTGTAGAGGACTTCTTACTGTAGTTGAACTAATAAACTCCCAATTTTCAATGCCTCTCTGGCATTTCAAATTCGTCTGTGTGCCAATATCCTTCTGTATGCACCTGCTGCTTGGGCTTTCCTCTGTGAATGGCTGTCTCTGAAGCAAATCACCATTAGATACATCAGTGGAAGAGGGTTCTTTGAAGCAAACCACCTTCTTAGATTGTATAAATGAAATATCACTAATATCTCTGAAAGGGGCAAGGGGAGCAGGAAAATTGCATCGTTTCAGTGCTATATTTTCTGCCTCCATCAAAAGTGTCCGAATTTCCTTAAGAGTTTTAGAACTATTTTCTGCATCCTGGATTTCTTCAGAGCCAAGATCTCTAAAACCTGCAGATTCTGGTTTATTTATTACAACTCTGTCATCAGCCTGAGAATTTAAAAGCACATTATTTGAGCTAACACTGGAGTCAGAAGAATTCAAATTATCTATCAGCCTTTGGACATGTTCTGAAACAAGCTTGTGATTCTCACCATGTGAGTAAGTACCAGAGGGAACTGTGTGTAATCCAGTAATTTGATCAGCTTGCCCAAGAGCACTTGAGATCTTTAGAGCATCTTCAGTTAGACGTCTATCTGGCGAATCCTTTTGATAGAAAATATCGGGTTTCTCTCGGTGTGAAAAGGAACTAGGAAGAGCTGTTGGTAATACTGTTTTCTGACTAGGTGGTCCAGGAATTGTTGAAATCTTCAGCACATCTTCAGTTACATGTCTACCTGGCAATTCCTGTGGACTGAAAATACTTGATTTCTCTCTGTGAAAATAAGAACTAGAGAGAGGTATTGGTTTTCCAGTATTCACATCAGTTAGTTCAGGGACAGCTGAAATCTTTAGAATACCTTTACTTTGATCTCTATCTGGCAACTGCTGTTGAAATAAAATATCGGGCTTTACTGTTTGAGAATAGGAACTATGAAAAGCTGTCTGGGATGGAGTCTTCTGGTCATTTGGTCCAATCACAGTTGAAATCTTGGGCTTCTCTGTTTGTGAGTAGGAACTAAGGGTAGCTGCTGGAAACTCAGTTTTCTGGTCATCTGGTATGAGCACAGTTGAAATCTTGAGTTTCTCTTTATGTGAATGTGAGTAGGAACTAGACGGTCCTATTGGTATCCCAGTCTTCTGCTCTGCTGGTATAGAAACAGGTGAAACTTTCAGAGCCTCTTCTGTGAGATGACTGTCTGGCAACTCCTGTTGAGAGATAACACTAGGCTTCTCTCTATGTGAGTAGTAACTTAGAGGTACTGTTGGTATCTCAGCCTTCTGGTCACCTTGCCCAGGAACAACAAAAACATTGAAAGTTTCTTCAGTAATATCTGGCAACTCCTGCTGATGAAAAATACTGGGCTTCTCTCTATTTGAGTAGGAACTAGAGGATGCTATTTGTATCCCAGTCTTCTGGTCAGCAGGCCCAGGAACCCCTACTGCTTTCAAAGTTACTTCAGTAAGATCTGGCAACTCCTGCTGATAAGAAATGACAGACTGCTCTCTCTGTGGGTAGGAATTAGAGGACAGGACGTTTATTCCAGTCTTCTGGTCAGCTGGTCCAGGAACTCTTAAAATTTTCAAACCTGCTTCAGTAAAACGTGGCAACTCTTGCTGGTAGGAAATAATGGGCTTCTCTCTGTGTGAGTAGGAAGTAGAGGTTACTGTCGATAACCCACTCTTCTGGTCAGCTGGTCCAGGAACATCTGAAACTTTCAGAGCCTTTTCAGTTAGATGACCATCTGGCAACTCTTGTTGGTAAGAAGTATTAGGTTTCTCTGTATGTGAATAGAAAGAGGAGGTTACAGTAGATAACCCAGTCTTCTGGTCAGCTGGTTGAGGAACAGCTGAAACTTTCAGAGTTTCTTTAGTTAGCTGACTGTCTGGCAGGGCCTGTTGGTAGAAGACAACAGGCTTCTCTCTATGTGAGTATAAACTAGAGGATACTGATGGTGTCTCAGTCTTCTGGGCATCTGGTCCAGGAACAGGTGGAACTTTCAGAGCTTCTTCAGGTAAATGACTGTCTGATAGGGTCTGTTGGTAGAAAATGAAGGCCTTCCCCCTATTTGAGTAGGGAGTAGAATATACTGGTATTGTCTCAGTCTTCTGGTCAACTGGTCCAGGAGCAGCTGAAACTTTCACAACTTCTTTATTTAGAGGACTGTCTAACAGAGCCTGCTGGTAGAAAGTAAGGGGCTTCTCTCCAAGTGCACTGGAACCTAAAGGTCCTGTTGGTATCTCAGTCTTCCTTTCAGTAGGTCCAGAAACAATGGAAACTTTCAGAGCCTCTTCAGGCAGATGACCATCTGCAAAGGCCTGTTTGTAGATAATAATGGGCTTCTCTCCAAGTGAGTAGGAAGTAGAGGTTATGGTTGGTATGCCAGTTGTCTGGTCAGCTGGTCCAGGAGCAGATGAAACTCTGAGAGCCTCTTCAGGTATTTGACTACCTAGCAATGCCGGCTGGTAGAAACTGCCAGGCTTTGCTCTATGTTGCGAGTAGGAAGGAGAGGTTACAGTTGGTGAGCCAGTTGTCTGGTCAACTGGTCCAGGAGCAACTGAAACTTTCAGAGACTCTTCAGGTAGATGACCATCTGGAAAGGCCTGTTTGTAGATAACAATGGGCTTCTCTCCAAATGAGCTGGAAGGAGAGGTTACAGTTGGTGTGCCAATCGTTTGGTCAACCGGTCCAGGAGCAACTGAAACTTTCAAAGCCTCTTCAGGTAGATGACTATGTGGCAAGACCTGTTGGTAGAAAACACCAGGCTTCTCTGTGTGTGAGTAGAAAGTAGAGGGTAAAGTTGGTGTCCCAGTCTTCTGGTCAGCTGGTCCAGGAACTGCTGAAACGTTCTTCGCCTCTTCAGTTAGATGACTACTTGGCAACGACTGTTGGTAGAAAATGCTGGGCTTCTCTCGATGTTGTGAGTAGGAAGTAGAGGTTGCAGTTGGTGTGCCAGTTGTCTGGTCAACTGGTTCATAGGCAACTGAAATATTCAGAGCCTCTTCAGTTGGATGATTATCTGGCAAGACCTGTTGGTAGAAAACACCAGGCTTCTCTGTGTGTGAGTAGAAAGTAGACGTTGAAGTTGGTGTCCCAGTCTTCTGGTCAGCTGGTCCAGGAACCACTGAAACTTTCCGTGCCTCTTCAGTTAGATGACTACTTGGCAACAACTGTTGGTAGAAAATGCTGGGCTTCTCTCTATGTTGTGAGTAGGAAGTAGAGGTTGCAGTTGGTGTGCCAGTTGTCTGGTCAACTGGTTCATAGGCAACTGAAATTTTCAGAGCCTCTTCAGTTGGATGATTATCTGGCAAGACCTGTTGGTAGAAAACACCAGGCTTCTCTGTGTATGAGTAGAAAGTAGAGGGTAAAGTTGGTATCCCAGTCTTCTGGTCAGCTGGTCCAGGAACCACTGAAACTTTCCGTGCCTCTTCAGTTAGATGACTACTTGGCAACGACTGTTGGTAGAAAATGCTGGGCTTCTCTCGATGTTGTGAGTAGGAAGTAGAGGTTGCAGTTGGTGTGCCAGTTGTCTGGTCAACTGGTTCATAGGCAACTGAAATTTTCAGAGCCTCTTCAGTTGGATGATTATCTGGCAAGACCTGTTGGTAGAAAATACCAGGCTTCTCTGTGTGTGAGTAGGAAGTAGAGGTTGGAGTTGGTGTCCCAGTCTTCTGGTCAGCTGGTCCAGGAACAGTTGAACCTTTCTGTGCCTCTTCAGGTATATGACTACCTGGCAAGGTCTGTTGATAGAAAATACCAGGCTTCTCTCTTTGTGAGTAGAAAGTAGAAAGTACTCCTGGTATCCAAGTCTTCTGGTCACCCAGTCCAGTAACAGCTGAAACTTTCTGAGCCTCTTCAGGTATATGAGTACCTGGCAAGGCCTGTTGGTGGAAAATGCTGGGCTTTTCTCTATATTGTGAGTAGGAAGTTGAGGTTACAGTTGGTGTGCCAGTCCTCTGGTCTGCTGGTCCAGGAGCTACTGAAATTTTCAGAGCCTCTTTAGGCAGATGACTCTCTGGCAAGGTCTGTTGGTAGAAAATACCAGGCTTCTCTCTTTGTGAGTAGAAAGTAGAGGGTACTGCTGGTGTGTCAGTCGTCTGATCAGCTGGTCCAGGGAAGGCTGAAACTTTCAGACTCTCTTCAGGTAGATGACTGTCTGATAACACCTGTGGGTAAAAAACACTAGGCTTCTCCCTCTGTGGGTAAGAACTAGACTGTATTGTTGGTATCTCAGTCTTCTGGTCAGCTGGTCCAGGGCCAGTTGAAACTTTCACAGCCTTTTCAGTTGGATGACTATCTGGCAATTCCTGCTGATAGAAAATACTGGGCTTCTCTCTATGTGAGAAGGAACCTGAAGGTACTGTTGGTGTTGGGACAGTCTTCTGGTCAGTCAGTCCAGGAATAGCAGACATTTTCAGAGATTCTCTAGGTAGATCACTGTCTGGCAACTCTTGCTGGTAGAAAATACTAGATTTCTCGTTATGTGAGTGAGAATTAGAGGACACTGTTGGTGTCCCAGTCTTCTGGGCAGCCAATACAGAAACAGCTGAAACCTTCAGAGCTTCTTCAGGGAAAAGAAAGTCTGGTAGGGTCTGCTGGGAAAAAATAACGGGCTTCTCTCTGTGTGAGTAGAAACTAGATGGTGCTGAGGGTATCCCAGTCTTCTGATCACCGGGTCCAGGAACAACTGATACTTTCAGAGCCTCTTCAGTTAGATGACTATTGGGTAAGGTCTGCTGATAGAAAGCACCAGGCTTTTCTCCAAGTGAAGAGGACACAGAGGAAGTAGAGGTTACAGTTGGTGTCCCCGTCTTTCTGTCAGCTGGTCCAGAAACAGCTGAATTTTTCAGAACCTCTTCGGGTAGTTGGCTGTCCAGCAAGGCCTGTTGGTAGAAAATACGGAGCTTCTCTCTGTGTGAGTATGCATTAGAGGGTACTGTTGGTAGGCCAGTCTTCTGGTCAGCTGGTCCAGCAACAGCTGAAACGTTCAGACCCTCTTCAGGTAGACGACTGTCTGCTAACACCTGTGAGGACAAAATACTAGGCTTTTCTCTCTGTGAGTAAGAACTAGACTGTACTGCTGGTATCTCAGTCTTCTGGTCAGCTAGTCCAGGAGTGAACGAAACTTTAAGAGTCTCTTCAGTTTGATGACTATCTGGGAACTCTTGTTGGTAAAAAATACCAGGCTTCTCTCTATGTGAGTAGGGAGTAGAGAGTACTGTTGCTGTCCCAGTCTTCTGGTCAGCCGGTCCAGACATAGCTGAAACTTTCAGAGCCTGATCAGTTAGATGACCATCTGGCAAGGTCTGTCGATAGAAAAAGAGGAGGTCCTCTCCATGTGAGTGGGATGTAGAGGATACTGTAGGTATTCCAGTTTTCTGCTCCACTGGGCCAGGAGCAGCTGAAACTTTCAAAGGCTCTTCAGTTAAGTTACTCTCTGGTAACTCTTGTTGGTAAAAAATACCAGGCTTCTCTCTATGTGAGTAGGAAGTAGAAGTTAGAGTTGGTATGCCAGTTGTCTCATCAGTTGGTCCAGGAGCAGCTAAAACTTTCAAAGCCTCTTCAGTTAGATGACTGTCTGGCAAGCCCTGCTGGTATAAAATACTGGGCTTCCCCCTGTGTGAGTGGGAACTAGAGAGTACTGTTGGTGTTGCAGTCTTCTGGTAAGCTGGTTCAGGAATAGCTGTGACTTTCAGAGTCTCTTCAGTTAGATGAGTATCTCCTAATGGCCTTTGGTTGAGAGTACTGGTGTGTTGACCAGTAGTAGTTTCTAGAGAACTTACAGTCAACTGAGACAGGTCCTCAAGGGACAAGGATAAATGAGATCCAATGTCTGAATCAACAGGAGTGGTAGTGATGCCTGACTTCAAGTTGGATTGAGTAACTTTAGCTATGCCTCCTTTAGAAGCATCTCCTAAAGAAAAAGAGATTTGTTAATATTATATAAAATTTTCTATTTTAAATTCTATGTGCTGAAAAAACGCAAGCTTTGAGCCTTTAAAAAGCTCCTAGAAATGAATCCTAAAGAAACAGCCATCAAAGGAGACAAATATTTGCACACAAATATATTAATTAGAAAACTAAAGTAAAAATATTTTAAATCTTCAACAACAGAGTAATGGTTATAAACAATAGTATATCCAGCAGATGAAATATTATAAGGATCTTAAAACTTGGATTTTTAGAGAATTATCAATGAGATGGGATAATGCTGTTGGGTCTAGGATTTGATTTCACCCTACTTACAATCTGTTATTGTGTCTTGTAGGCTAGCATAAGACATAAGGTCGTCAGTCAGAGACAAAAGACTTTATGATCCCTGGTACAGCAAAGGATCATCAGCTTATTTTCACAGGTTCCTCTTGCACCCAAAGTCCCACAGGGGCAGTACAATATGGCCTACAGGGATGCTATGCGTGCAGTGAGTTTGAAGGACTCTCCCAGCAAATGCACCCTGTATAATGTATATATATTTAAGTACATAAAACTGAAAAAGACTCTAAAGGTTACTCTGAAGAGTTTGAACTTAATTCCATATGGCATGGCAAGTTGTTTACAGTTTTAAAGTTTTCAAGATGAGTGAGAAGGGAATGTAAAAATCTGGGTTGCACAATCCAACGAACGTTTCTATATGAAATGAAAGCAGTTTTAAACAGCAGTGTAAAGTAAGTGACTGCAACAGAAATGACAGGATTTGACAAGCTGTCCATTCATTCATTGTTCATTCAAAATACATGAATGCTTATTATGTGCTAGGCACTGTTCTACATACAGCAATAAACGAACAGACAATAATCCCTACCTCGCAGAGCTTATTTGTATTCCAGCAGAAGGAGGCTGACAATAAATTGGTAAAACATATGATGTGTCAGATGATGTTAAGATGATTGATATATAGAGCAAGTATTATCCATACTTTATGTATAGGGAAACCGAGTTGCAAAGACGACCATGTAACAGTGCTTCTCAGTGTTGGGATCTTGTTAACTTGCAGATTCTGACTCAGTAGGTCTGGGTGGGACCTGAAATTCTGCATTTCTAACAAGCTCCCCAGGGATGCCCAATGTTATTGGTCCTCAGATCACATTTTAAGTGCAAAGATACATAGTTTTTCTAGAATTGTAGGTGGGTAAGTGACAAAAACTGGTACTTTAACTCTTGAACTCTAAATCCAAATTCTGAGCTCTTTCCACTACAACCGACTGGCTTTCTATGGCCACTGATGAGCTCCAAAGGAGCTGAATATAGAATGAAACGGGTAGAGGAGTGAATTTTAAAGTAAAGAACTAGAAGTATCAAGTATTAACTCTTCAAGAAAAGTAAAAAATTTAAAAATGCAACATGCACTGTAACTTGAGAAGGAATATGGGTTACAAAATTTTGTGAGGTTCTTGCCTGCTGGGTCTAAAGAAAATAAGAAAAGTTTTTTGTAAGGAAACAGAACAGGCTCAAGAAGTTAATAAATCAAAACAGATTAACAAAACAGAACCTTGTTTTTCTAAATGATTTCCTAATTTCTCAAAGTTTTTACATCCCTTTGGCCATTACAAATTATTAGTGACACCATGAATGGGGACAAATGACATAAATAGCTAAGGAGTTAAGATGTACAGTCCAGGTCCTTGAAGGATCCAGAAGGTTACATAAGATAAGGTCTTCTTAACCTCAGGGGTAAAGGAAAAGATTAGTAAAGAAAACTGGAAGAACAACTATAGGTTAAGCTGTTAAAAGTGCAGGAGGAGATGCATGATGTTAAAGAAGAATTCTTGTCAGTTCTATATAAAGTTAAGGACATATATGTCAAACTGTCAGAAGAATGGTGATCACAAATCCACTAATTATGAATTTTAAAATATGTCTATGTAAGTAAGGAGTTCATGATGAAAAATGGTATGTTTTTAGAGTGCTTATTATTCTCTCAGCCCTGGGAAAGAAGAATACACTAAGCGTGAGTGTTACAATATTACTATATACTGATCAAATCTTTGGAGATTCATTTTCATAAGTAGGGGTGAGTTGAAGAGGTAAGTTTCGACCAAGAAGATGAACATGGCTGCCAGAAAAAGACTATACTATACTATACCAAAGTTGTATATTCGTCGGAACTGTATGCCTCCTAGAGATGACATTAAGACTAACAACTGGGTACAACTTACTCAAGAACTCTTCTCCATACTAAGGTGCTTAGTAACACAGAAGGCTTCCTTGGGTGATAAAGACAGTACGGTTTTATTTCCCCAAGTATATACTGGCGTAAGAAGAATAAGCGAGCCCTTTATTTCTTACAGACAAAATGAGGTACAATTCCATACTTCCATTTTACATATGACTAAGAGCCTCTTACCAGTAATCATTCCAAGTGAATTATTATGGGTTTTAATACTAGCACACACAAATAAATTACTATAGCTCTAATTTTGAGCCCTCTAATTCAGTCACTAATAAGTCTGTAATGGGGCTAGGAAGGTAGCGGGGAGGATGGTTAATGGGTACAAAAATGTAGTTAGAATGAATAAGCTCTAGAATATGATATAGTACAACAGGGTGACTACAGTCAACAATTATTTATAACACATTTTAAATTAAAAGAGTGTAACTGTACTTTTCACAACATAAAGAAATAATGAATGCTTGAGGTGACAGATACACCATTTACCTTGATGTGATTATTGCATATCATATGTTTGTGTCAAAATATCTCATGTACCCCATAAATATATACACCTACTATGTTCTCATAAAAATTAAAAATAAAAAAGTTTTTTAAAAAAGAAGTCTGGCAAAAGCACCTATTGTGTGTACAGAGAAGTAAACTCAAATTCATGTAGTTTTTAAAAAGACACCAGTGATATTTTAAATGGGTCTTTGTCATCATTGCTGTTATTCTTGCTTTCTAATTACTATATCATTTTTGTAAGTTCCTAATTATTAATTATTGATAACTAATTTTAATTTTGCTGTATTTGGTTAATCCCTCAGTAAACTCATAGATGTTTACTTCAACATTCATCATCTTAAACTATATTCTCTCATAACTAAACTATAACACAAGTATATCACAGTTCAAACAGGAATTTTTGATACTCTTATTAGCACAGCGGATGTAAATATAACCCTTCCAAAGTTCCTGCATACTGATAATTCATTAATGTCATCCTGTTGATAAATGTATGCCATTTAAATAACTTGCAATACAAAATCAAGTTAAATGTAATAAAATTGCTTAGTTTCAAAAGATAATAGGGCACTATTTTATAACACAAAAATCACATATACAAGCTAACACTATAGCCTATGATTTAATTCCTAATTTTGTTGTTGCTATCACTAAGTTCTTTTTCAATGTGAAAGCAGGAATTGTTAGGTTAAGTGCGTTATACACTCTTCCTCATTCCTAAGTGGGCAGGGGTTTCAAAAAGCTAATGAACTGCTGGTGTTATGAAAAGTTCATGAACCCGGTACTCAAACATCAAATCCCAAACACTACTTCCTAACAGAATAACCCTGGGAAAGTTATACCCTAGTCCTAGTAATGCCCAGTCATCAAACCACCCTGATAGGTGCACCCCTAACTCAAAGAAGTTCCCTCTGGGACAGGAGAAGATGTAATTTCAGATCCTGCTTCTAGGCTCCTCATCTTTAACAGAACCCTTCAAAGTCCTGCCCCAAACTAAAGTCCTCCCTTACTCTGAGCCACACTCAGGTTCCCTCCCTGCCCTGAGTAACTTGCATCTTCAAGGGAGAAGATACCCAACAAATAACAACCTAAGGTAGTAAGGTTAAACAAAAGACTGGGCGTCAATAAAAATTATGGCAGGAAAACTAATAGAAAAATCAATTAGGTTTAGAGGCAGGGAACATAAACCCCAATACCCACCAAACAACATAAAGTAAGACATATAGGCCATTCAAGTCATAGAGACACAGCCTCATGTTAGAGATCAATAAAATAGTGATAAGACACTAATCCATAGGCTTTCATTACAACTGACACATAGTCAATGAAATATGATACTTACATTTATTTGATCCACTTTCTTGAGAACTGATCCCTGCCAAAATACAAAACCTACCATCTTATTCTACCCCTCTCCAGTCTACCCAGGCACATTAATCATTTAATATTCATCGATTCATTAAGTCATTCAACAGATACTTATTGAGCAGCTTTCACGGCCAGGTGCAAAAATATATATATTAGCAAAGCCCCAGCTCTACCCTCAAAGAGCTTAAAGTCCTGTGGGAGATAGAAACAAGTGAAAAAAAGCAATTACTAAATTCAGTGTAAGGGCAACGATTAGGGAGGTTGTTTACAGGACACTATAGTAACATATATAAGGAGTATCTGGCTCTTTCTTAAAGAGTCATGGTGAACAGCAAAAAACAGAAACATTTTCCTGAAAGACAGCAAAGCTCAGAATGAAAGGATAAAACCAGAAATGAGGCAAAAATGGGCATATAAAGAATAGGGAAGCATTCCAAGTAGAGAAAATAGCATCTATGAGATCAAGGAGACAAGAGGGTCTACATCATGAAGAAATGACAGTAGTTCACTATGAAAAAAGAGGCAAGTATAAGGCTACGAAGGTAAGCAGGGACCTTCTACTATGTACTAAGGAGTTTAGAGTTTACCCTGAGGTTAACAATGGAAAGCAAGAACTCCAAACTAGGAAGTGACATTATCAAGTCTGCCCTGTAAACAGACTAGTTTCGCTTAATACAAAAAATGAGTGGCAGAGAAGATGATCAGTTTTCCATTACTAATGCAGTAATTCAGAAAAGAGAATGGGAGTCTGATAGTCAGAAGCAACGGGATTGAGTGATTGGGCAGGGATGAGGGGGAAAGAAGAATACAAGTTTCTAGCTTGGCTAATAAGTAGACACTCATTCCCTGAAAAGAAACAGAGAAGGAAG